GTCGTCGAAGACGTCGTCGGTGTCGTCGTAGTCGTTGTCGGCGACGTCGTCATCGTCGTTGTCGCTGTCGTCGTCGGCGTCGCTGTCGTTGCCAAGTGCCATTTGGTACCAACCGTCACGGTCTTAAGAGATTTGGCTAACCAAATTGCGGGTGGGTGGGTGGGATGTTTGCGCGAACAGTGGAGTGGACAACTCACTGCGAACAGAAAATGATTGCACCACGTAGACTGTACTGCATAGATTGCAGCGTAAACTGCACTGCCTAGATTGCACCGCGTACATAAATTGCACCGCACCAATTGCATTACACAGGCTGCCGCGCGTAAATTCGCCTTCCTAAAACGAAATCGGTTATACCACCCTCCCCCCCCGGGGTTACAGATCCCCCGGGAACCAAAGCAAAACACATAGGATTCTGACTCAATGCCCATCCTACCTGTAAATTCATATTTGCCCCAGCCAAGCCAATATCGCCCCCCCCCCCCCGCCACCCTCTGCAAAAGAATACAATGCGCGCACACGCGTTCCCCAAACATCAAAAGTTGTTTAAATACCTTGCAAAAAAAGAAAAAAACACGAAACGAAGTGCACACGCGCGCGTCGTCGCGCGCGCATTCCAAAATCATTCAAAAACCTTAAACGTCGGAAAGATTCCAACATCGAGTTTCCAAAAAACCAATAAAAACACAGGGCTTCGCACCACTGATGTTCTAAAACATCTTACACGCCCGGCTTGCAAAAAAACTTAAGAAAAGCATAGGTTATTCAACATTCCAATATATGTATATATATATATGTATATATACACCGAACGGGCTTCGCGCGCGCGCATGTCGACATCGTTCGAACGCCCTTGCGCGCGTGCCGTCGCGAGAATCCTCTGCAAAAAACAAGACGAAGTGCCCGCGCTCGTCGTCGAGCGCGCATGCCGAAATCGTTCAAAAACCTTCTTGGTTTCGGAAAGATTTCAAAATCGTGTCCAAAAAACATACAAACACACATGATTTCGCAACACGGATTTCCAACAAAAGCGTGCGCGCGCGCTTTTGCGTCGTCGTCGTCGTAGTCGCTGTCCTCCCTCCTCCCTCGTCGTCGTCGAAGTCGCCGTCGTCGTCCTCTGTCTTTCCTTGTCGTCGTCGTCGTCCTCTTTGGCGTCGTGGTCGTTTCCGTCGTCGTTGTCGCCGTGGTCGTCCTTTCTCCTCCCTCGTCGTCGTCGTCGTCGTCCGACGTCGGCGTCTCGTTGTCGTCCCTCCTATTTCGTCGCCGTCGTCGTCGTCGTCTTCCCTCCTCCCTCGTCGCTGTCGTCGTCGGCGTCGCCGTCCTCCCTCCTTCGTCGTTGGCGTCGTCGCCGTCCTCCCTCCTCCCTCGTCGTTGTCGACGTTGTCGCCGTCGTCGTCGTCGTCCCTCCCCCCTCGTCGTCGTCGTCTTCGTCGTCGTCGCCATCGTCGTCGTCGTCGTCGCCCTCGTCGTCGGCGTCGTCGTCGTCCTCGTCGTTGGCGTCTTCGTCGTCGCCGTCGTCGTCGTCGTCGTCCTCGTCGTCGGCGTCGTCGTCGTCGTCCTCGTCGTTGGCGTCGTCGTCGCCGTCGGCGTCGGCGTCGTCATCGTCGCCGTCGTCGGCGGCGGCGGCGTTGTCGTCGTCGTCGGTGTCGCCGTCGTCGTCGTCGTCGTCGTCGACGTTGTCGTCGTCGTCGAAGTCGTTGCGCGAGCAGTGGAGATGACGACTTCAAGTTCAGCAGAGTGGATTGCACCACATAGATTGCACCACATAGATTGTGCCACTTAGATTGCACCACATGGATTGCTAGAAACACACTGCTTGGGTTCCGAGCTGACTAGCATACATTAGTTCACCTTCTAGGCCTGCTGCAAAGTCGTGAAACTCGCTCTGCGGCACGATGCCGATGCCTCTATGCTCTGCAAAGGGGCGATAAATCGTCTGCACTTGGAATCACTTCGTTGATCCGCCACCGTGCTCGCTGGCACGTGGAGGCGTGCTAGAATGCCAAGTGCTGTCTGGCAGGGCTTTTTGCAATCTTCGAAGGGACCCACCCCCTCCGGGCCGCACCTCGTCGCGTTCACCGCCCCCTCTCTTCCCGAGGCTCTGTCGACGCCCAGACACACGTCCCTGGCGTTCCCCAGGGCTTCCAAAATCCCCAAGATGGCTTCCAAGACGAACCTGGGAAGCCACCAAGGCCGCCAAGATGGCCCAAGATGCCTCCAAGACCGTCTGAGAGGCCCCAGAGAAGCCCCGAGAGCGCGCCAAGAGGGCCACACGAGACAAAAAACAAGCATCCTGGCGAAGGACCCAACCATATTCAATTGTGAGTAACGCAATGGTACATACCGTCGTCGGTGGAGCTCCCTTGGCCACGAACCGTGTGAGGAGTGTGCCGAAATGGGGTGGAACTGCATGCGAACTTTGCCACTGGGGCCTTCAATGGATCTCCCTATGGGGCCACGAACCGTGTGAGGGGTGTGCCGAAATTGGATGGGACTTGGG